AACTCTTCCCCTCCCTTTACTCCAGCGCCTCACATAAAGACTCTACAGTGGCCGACGAAGTGGTTATCGTAGGAGGGCGAAGAGTTTGGAATCCGTCTTTCAGGAGAAACCTCTCGGATGATGAATCCTTCTCTTTTATTCAACTCTCAGCAACCTTGCATGCTAGCTACATTCTTATCAGTGGGAATGACGCTTTGGGGTGGACTCTTTCCCCCTCCGGTTTCTTCACAGTCGCCTCTTTTTATAGGAGACTCACCCAATCTCCCACTCTGCCCTTCAACCCCCACTCGATTCTATCTAAAGTCTGGTCATCGATCGCACCCCCAAGGGTCCAGACTTTCAACTGGATAGCTGGATCACATAGAGCATTAACTGTAGATCAATTACAACAGAGGGGAATCCATATTCTAAACAGATGCATTATGTGCTAAAATGAGGAGGAATCTAATTCTTATATGTTCATTCATTGCGAGCAAGCGAGATACCTTTGGAGCCGGCTTTTACTACTCTTTGGCTTACAATGGGTTACTCCACCTACTGTCCTATCCCTTTTATCCACAGATTTCGCCAAGCCTTGGCCCAAAGCTGGAAAAATTATTTGGAAGGCTGCCACTGCTGTGCTTATATGGGTTATTTGGACAGAAAGGAATGATAGGATATTTCAGGGACTCTATCAACAGGGGCCTGCACTTCTCCCCAAGGTCAAGACCTTGGTAGCCTTTTGGGCAACCAATCACAAAGTCTTCACTGGTACACCTACAAACTTTTTTCTAAGCTATTTGGATAATATCCTATTTCACCAGCCGCGGAAAACTCAAAAAACCAATAACTGGCAACCACCCCCCAGGGGAACTATCAAACTTAATTTTGACGGTTGCTCAAGGGGAAATCCAGCCGGGGCCGGTGGAGTCTTCCGAGATCACGAGAGGAATATTTTACTTATCTCTGCCAAACCCCTAGGCCACATGGACTCTCAACGTGCTGAAGCAATGGCACTGTTGATGGGGCTCAAGCTCTGTAACCCCTCATGGGGATTTCACTTGATAGTTGAAGGGGAGGCATACAATATTATCTCTTGGGCTTCTGGAAAGTCCATACCACCTTGGTACTTAGTTTCGATCTTTGATTAGATTGAATTTATTTGCAGGGATATCAGCGTCTCATGGAGGCATATCTTCAAGACGTTTAACGAGTTCGCAGATCTCATGGCCAATGACGGAGCCGATCTTACAAATAGTCTTGGACCTCCTTGAAGTTAGTTGCAGATTTTCTCTCCCACTTGCATTACGTTATAAAAAAGGGTGTTTTATAAACCCTTTAACCGTTTGGTTGCACCAACTTTTTGTTGTCACAGTACTGAACTGTTTTCTTTTCTTGTTTTTTTTTGTAGAGGGATCACCTAGCATCGTCAGGGCTCCGGTAGCTCCCAATTTTTGTACAGGATGCTCCCAACACTTGTAAAAAAAAAAAACAACCAAGAGCACAAATCTGTAATCACAAACTTTAAAGTTACAAAATATTACAAACTAAAAGTCTATGAAGATTAAAGAGTTTAAAAGTCACGCTCAAGAAGAGTCAATACAAATTATACAATCATCATCATTTCTCAAGTCTTGAGAGTGAGATTCTAATTTCAAATTTTCAAATCTTAATCAGAGAAGCCATTTTAAGAGCCTCCATGTGCATCATTATCACTCTCATTCTCAGCGGCCTCCACGTATTCTTCTTCCTTTGAGTCAGCCTCCTCCTCCTCCTTGACCTCTGGAGCTAATGTGCGACTAGACCTAGCTCTACTCCTTTGTGCTCTAGTGTGAGGCTGTTCATCTTTATTAGCCCCTGTGGCTAGCTTAGCATCAAGCTAAGTAAGATCCTCACCCTCAAACGCACACTCTAGTCGTGGATCTGTGGTCCATTCACTTGTGCAATCGCTATTAGCTTCATACAATTGAATAGGGTTGAGATCCATGCGCTTTTGATACCTCTCCCTAAGCTGCTTATTATACCGCACATAAACCAAATCATTCAACTTCTTCTGCTCCAACCTATTTCTTTTTTTGGTATAGAGTTGTGGAAGGAAATTGAAATTAGATAAATTAGATTTTAGAAAAATAAAATTTGAAATTGAAATCCAAAAAATAAGGATTAAGGACTTACATGCTCAAATGCATTCCAATTGCGTTCGCAACCCGATGAGTTACATGTGAGATTGAACACTCAAATAGCGAGACGTTGTAGATTTAGTGTTTCGCTTCCATTTAATGTCCACCATGCAGCTGTGTAATAGTTTATAAGTTAGATTTTAGATAAATAGTTTATTATTTATATAAATGGAACTATACATAAAGTTATCAACAAGGGTGCTTTTGGCCTTTACTTGGATTTGTAGTGTCCTTATTTCGAGTAGCAATCTCTCTCCCAAAGTTTCTCAATGCTAACTTGAACTTAATCAATTCTTGGCTCTGGATCTCATCTTGGATATCTTTGTCAGGAACCAACCTCTCAAGCACATCTAAGAAATCACCATTTATTACACGATCTGACTTAATGGATGGGTGCTAGTAGTGAAGAGATGGATTTAGAAAGTAACCGACTGATTGAAGGTGCCTGTGAAGCTGGGTATCTCATCTCCTATCAATAATTTCAAGTATAGCCTTGCTTTTATTTTCATCATCCTTTAAAACATTTTTTATCTGTCCTCTTGCCCTAGTCATTGCTTCATGTATGTTACCCATGGCGGGCTTCACATCACCATCAACCAGTCGAAGAACTTTTACTAAAGGGCCAACCACCTCCAATGCAAGAAATATTTGATTCCCAAAAGATGTATTTAGAATAATTTGTTCAACCGCTCTCCCATCCTGATGCTTTGACCATTTACTTTAAAGCAAACATGATCCTCAAGCCATTTTATTGCTTGCATAGGCTTCAAAGAGTGAGAAATGATGTGGCAAATCTAGTGATATCCGGTCTCACTAATTATCTTTTCTTTGTAAAAGTCCTCATCATACTAAGGACCATGGTATGATTGTAAATAAATCCAACAACAAACAGAGCTTTTGAAATCACCCCACTAAATGAAGATGTATCCATTTCCTTAAGCATGAGATTAACACAATGAGCTGCACAAGGAGTCCAAAACATATGCGTCCTCTTCAAAGTCAATAAATGCCCAACTACAACATAATTGGCACCATTACCAGTGACAATTTGCACCACATTTTTTTCTCCAATAAACTCTACAGTATTATCCATCAAGCCACATAAGTATGTAGCATCATGTGACTTGTATGATGCATCAACATACTTAACAAAAAAAGTATCTGTTGGATAGCTAACTAAAAAATTTAATGAATGACCTCGACTTCCCATCAGATTAACCATCGCACATAATAATGGCCCCATTCTTCTCCCACCCTTCTCTTTGAGAAATCAAAATTTTGTTAACATCAAATCCAACATCTTTCAATAAGGGCTTCCTAATCTCATGTAGTGAAGGAGGAATAAGTCCTAGGCCAAATTGCCCAATTGCTTGGACCATACATGCAAAACTATCGAGCGTTATAGTATTAAAAGGAATGCCGGCAATGTAGAACCACTTTGCAATGTATTTACATACCGACTTCCTCTCTTCTTTCTTGTATCGATTTTCAATTGTGGTTTGTTTTTTTTTTCCTCTTCTCCTGAACCACAGTTTTAAGGTTAGGGGTAAAAAAAGCATCCATTGGTCCCTTAGAGAGGTGTTTTTCTTCCAACACTACCACCAATATTTATTATCCTCTCTCTTGATTGGAGTACCCATTTGCCTCATTGCAACTTCTGATATATCATCTTTATCATCAAATAATTGCTTATCATCAAGTAATTCGTTTTTTTCTATTTTTTTATTCTCTTTTTTTTTCAAGCTATCCATGTATTCTCTATTCTCCCTTTTTATCTCTTCGGTAGCTTGCAGGCATGCTTTTACATTCCGAGAAATACCGGCTAAGTGTTATTTTTACCGAGAAATACCCTTTATATAAGTATTTCTACAAAGCATACAAATCACACAATTTTGATCTTTCAGATTTTTCTATTTTGCATATTTCCAAGCCAGATCCTTATTATTAGAAGATTGGGAAGAAGACATTGCCCCAAAAAAAGTTTACTGTAGTAGAAAAAAAGTTACCGGTTACTTGAAGCAAATGTCGATTTCTTCACGACCCTTGAAACCCTCGATTTGTTATCGCAAGTTCATTTAAACTTTCTCAAATCAACACCCAAAAGATACAAATCAACAACCAATACACAAATCGAAGAAGTTCACAAAATAAAATTTCTGCCAATTTTTTTTTTTGCTTCAATTGATCCAATAAAAGTCGCGGATGTGGCTGAAAAATGATGTTTGGGGGGTTTAATAACCCCCCAAACCCTTTCCCCTCATTTTTGGGGGTCAAAAAGGCCTTAATACCCCTGCTCGAGGGTTCATTTCAAAAAAAATGGCAGACTGCATATGCGGTATGATACGCCCTATGTGGGATGCGGCTATGATGCGGAGAGATGCGGCGGATATGCGGGCGCATCTCTCCAAACCGCATATGTGGCCATCTGCGATGCGCTTGGCAGCGCATAACGCCTAATGTGGTCGCATTTTAAAACATTGATTTAAACTGTTCCCAAGGGATAACAAGCTTGACTTGCTTTTGTTTATCCTACGACTGTGTAGAGCTTTTCTTCTTTTCGGCGATTCTTTTTTGTAACTGCTTCCATATCGAAGAGAAACCAACCTCATGGGTATGTATTAGGTATGCTTGTGTTCCTTGACTATCAGGGGTTCCCTTCTTGAGCAACTGATCTTGTAATTTGCTATTGATTTTGAAATACCTCAGGATTGAATGTATACTTGAACGATAAAATGATATTTTACTGGGTATTTTCTCGCTTTTCCTTAATATTGATGATGGTGAATAATTGACCCTTATTAGTCTTCTTTCTTTCTTCATTTTTTTAATCCTTTGCAACAGACATTATCGGAATCGAATAGCTAGAAAAAAGTTTGTTCCTTGGCCTATAGAAATAAAGTTTTGCGATCCAACCACCAGCTTCGTCAACTATCCTTCAGAACCAAGGTTGGCCTTGTGTTAAATAATTGTAGTTTGTGTTTAAAATTGTAATTTCATTTTGTTAACGTTGGATATTATTGCAGCCAAAAGTTCTGGTTCAGAGCTAAAGGCAAACTTTCAGATGACCCTGCTCTGCATAGGTAAACGGTCAGACCTTGTGTCATTTATATCAAGCTTGTATTTTGTTCTATATTGTAGATTTATTTCATTGAAATTACATGATGGTCAGAGAACTCATTTGGAATTTGTGATTCCATGTGACTGTAAGTGCATTAAATTTTGAGTACTTCTGGCTTGGAGCTCATTTGCCAATTAATACGAAGTTGAACATGATCTAAGACACAAAACCAGGGAGCAACCTAGATGGTGTGATGAACAAAGTTCGTTTTCTCTTGTGATGGTTTTGTGTGCTAATGATGTGTACTGATATTGCTACTGTCATTTATAGGTAGTGTTACATATACAATATGACTAGCATAAGCTTTTGATGCATTGAGAAACATCTCATGCTATATGAAGGCCATTATTTATTTGTAATTAGTTCTACATGTGTTTCCACATTGGATATCTTACAGCTGAAGTCATCTTTCTTGTGTAATCCATTAAAATCCTCTTATTCATAAAGGGGATTTTCTGGGGACTTGAGATTTGGTTAGAAATTAGCCAAGCATTGGATCAAGTTTACTGGATGATTTAAGCAAATAGTGAGCCCCGTACTCATTTAGTTAATTGAACAAATGAGTTTTGCCGAAACACCCCAGCGAAAGGTAAGAACTCTTTTTTATACATGTTATTGTTGTGGTGCTTATTATTTATATGCCATTTGAATTTTAGTTAGCCGTATAGGTTACTTTTTTTTTGAGAATATTCACTTATATTTCAGTAAAATGGAGTGTATAAAATGTGGCACCTATACTAGTACCCTTAACAAAACTCCCAAGGGGCCTAAACAAATGCTTTACAGCACAAGTGCACAGCAGAGGTAAAAACAGAGAGTGGGGGTATGGGCAGTAGAATGCTCAGTGATCCAGATTGGATTGGGCACCATCCTTTGCTAAAAGGTCTGCTGCAGAGTTTGCTACTCTGAATATCTGTTTCCACGATGTTTTTAATCCCCTACTTAGATGAGAAATCTCTTCAAAAATGTCATGGAGGCGTCATGAGCAGGAGGTGGCTTTAGAAGCCCAGGCTATGGTATTTTTGGAATCCCCTTCCACCAAGAGATCAAGACTCTAACTTGAGTTTACCTTGCGAAGGGCCTAGGCAATAGTTGAGTCCACCAAACCGATGGGGCGGGAGAAAGACGAGCATACTGCCATCTTGGGTTCTAAAGAGGCCTCCTATACCAGAGGTTGCCTAGTCAGCAACCATCAAATTATATATTTTTTTGATAATGTTAACCTTCAATTTATAAGAACGAATAATACAAGAGACCTTGGCAATATAACCATCAAAGTTAAACTTGACTAAAGGGGTTTTAGTCAAGTTAAAAAGTTAGGAGAAATCATCAGCACCATCTCCGTAACAACAAATTAGATGAACAAAGTCCTTGGGCCCTTTATCGGACTTTTTATCATTATTTTTTACACAACATTGTTATTTACCATGTGATCCCTAGAATAATAGTTACAAGTTTTTTATCTCTACAATATCTATCTTGGAGCAAATGGGAGATGTGGTTTTAGTTTATCATGGTACTTACAGTTGTAGGATTTGTGGCTGCTAAACAAGAGGCATTCAAAGGTGCTCAAAATATGCGACATTTGCTGGAATTTTTTTGCAAATTCAGGTCTTGATTTCTAGCCCAAATTGCATTTTGGCCTGTTGAAACCCTGAGGGTTGTTTGGTTTACAAATATCCATCGATTCTGAATGTAATCCTTGGTAAAAGCCCTTTGAGTGGGCTTTCAAACTATCCAATCGCTCTCTCATTCCCCCCCCCCCCACCCACCAAAAAAGAAACAAAAAATAGAAAACAAAAACAAGAGCCATTTCCCTGTTCACACCACCTCTACCACCATTGCCACCATCACTGCCACTGCACTTACATCATCACCACCTACACACAGCCATCCCCCTTACCAACACCAGCACCAACCCACTGCTGCCACCGCCACCACCATTGCCACTATTGTTCTGCCGCTACCACTACCTTAGCACCACACAATAAGAAATTGCAATTCAACAAGAGCAATCAAATACCTCTGGACAACTAGCCAATTCATCCAATTGCAATTTAAATCGGTCACAATTTGAGGGGAGGGGGGGGGGGGGATCATCACTAATTGACAATCAGATGGAGCCTTAGTTTTCTGTTAGAACCTGTTTTTTCAAATATGTGACACTTCCTTTATTGAGCCTGACCTTGATTCGTTTTATATTATCAAAACTTGAACCTTGCTGTTACTTATTTGTTTTTTCAATTTTGTTGTAATTCATACTGGTAGTCTTCTTCTCTACCAATTTAATCTTTGCACAATGCTTGATTTTTATGTGTATAATTCTTGGAACAAATGTAATTGATGTAAGTCATTAACAACTACCAAAAAAAAAAATGTAAGCCATTAATCATCTCCTGCAGATGTGTAGTAGCATATACTTCAGACCTTATATTTCTTGGGACTAGCTTGAAGCCACATCAAAGGAAGGGCGTGAAGATGTCATCACTCAGTCTCGATCACTCGTATGTGTAACATCTCCCTTTTCCTTTTGTTTTTGTTAGTAACCTGCATTGACACAAAGACATCTATAATAAGAACAACCATCTTATGGAAACAACCAGCAGTCTAAATTATGCTAAATGTTGAGCATAAGCATGTGTAACTGAATTTTATCATACTATTTTGAGATGAGCATGGATTTTGAGGTACTACTTTATGTTTATTTGATGGTTAGCCCACATCCTCTCTCTCTCTCCCTCCCCCCCTCTCTCTCTTACTATAATTTGTATGTTAGCCGACCACTACCCTCTCTCTCTCTCTCTCCCACAGGTTGTGGTTTCATAAACCCTTCAAAGCAGATGATTGGCTATTATTTGTGGTAAGTATTTCACAAAAGGGCCAGTTTTCTAGTTCCATCATCAAATTTATTGGTTTTCAATGCTGATTATTGATTGGCTCTTGTTTGACAGATGGAAAGCCCTGTTGCAAGTAATGGTCGTGGGTTTGTTGTTGGTCGGATGTTTAACAGGAATGGAGAGGTTAACAGAACTTGGGGTTTCATTTTTAGAAATTGTATTTTCAAATTCTGAAGTTTTTCACTGTTCATACTAATTGAGTCCGTGTTGATGTGCAGCTTGTCATTTCAGCAAGTCAAGAAGGCATCTTTAGAAGGGCTAATCAAAGTACTCCAGATCCAAAATCAAAACTATAAGCTTGGTGGGTTTTATGGAGCCGAGTTCTTACGCTGTTGCAATATATGAATTTTTCATATGAACGATGGGTCTCTTATTTTTCTTAAGAGGAAGTAAGAGTCCCTTCTTAGTTTTTCATGATCGTGCAATTATAAGTTCAGGATCTCTCTCTCTCTCACACACACACACACAAACTATCGTTAATCGCAGCATGTAGACACTCCTATGAATAACAGATGGAGCTTCTATGCCTGTTGGAAGGGACTGCAGCGAGAGGGTCAGCTGAAATTCTTTAATGACTTATTGATTGTTTTGGAAGAAATCCTCGACTTACCATGGATGTCTTGATTTTATGTGGCATTCCTGTCACACCAAGAAAGTAAAGCATATTAAATGCTTGAGATCATAGTATATTCATTCATAAGTTAAAGATATTTTAAATTTGGTTGAAGCTGCCCTTGGAATTTTAAATTTTGGTTGTCCAGCTTATCAATTTCAACCGGTTCGACCAACCGAACAAAGTTGGATAGTATTTATATTTTTTTATATTTTCAAAATTTTATCAAACTAGTTCAATTAACCGTCATATTAGTTTTGACAAGATCAGATCCTTCATCAATTTGATGGCCTGTCCTATCTTGATAATATTGGGGGTAAGAGTGCCTGGTTAGCAACCAATGCCACTTCGTGCATTGTGGCTGAACCTAACGAAAATAACCTTCGATTTTATGGCCTTGGGAGCCTTGCCCCTTGAAGTGAAACTTATGACTATTATCATAGCCTTAGCTAAATCGCGAAAAAAAGAGAGAGGAAAAAGTTAAAAGTGTGAGGCTTTAAACAATCAAATTAGGGTCTAGAGGTTGTTGTGATGTCTAAATATCTTAAAATTGATCATTTTGACCTCAAGATCATGAAAAAAAAATCTGGATTTCAAGTTTTGGATATAGTGCATCTTGTAATGTGTTTTGGACCATCAAGTTTCAAGTTTTCATAGATGTGTTCGATCTACACTATTTTTTAAGCTTTGAATTTTATAAGTACATATGAAAATATATTTTAAGGCTATCACAAAGATATATTCAGAATCGGAACCACATTTCTCGATACTATTTAAAGGTGCGTTGTGCTTTGATTGTTTAGAGCCTCGGCTTTATACAAACCGCACCTAAAAAAAGCGGCGGGATATAGCTTCTTGGACTTATTAACCCAATTTAAAGAGATTATAAGAATGACCCCAACCAGGGGGTTCCGCTAGGGTTTCAAGTAGAATTTTGATAGTAGCTTTTTTGAAACTTGGGCTTTAATAGGGTAGGGGTAGTGATAAAGGATCATTCAGGAACTTACACTCTCAAGTTATTCAAGCTCAGTATGATAGTGTTTAGCAAATTAAATTGAAAATTACATAGGCTCCATTCCCATTATTAACACTTAAAAAAAGAAAAAAGAAATAAAAGAAAAAGACATGGGTGCAGTTGGCATATGATGCACCCGTAGCTGTAGAGGTAAGGTACACCTTCAGATTTTATCATGATATATAATTTTGATGTAAAATGTTATAAGGATTATCTCAAAATCTATTTTTATATCTAATTCTAAAATTTTAAATTTAAAAATTGGTTAAAATCAAGTAGATCTAAAAAGATATGAAAATCTTGAAAATGGACGGTGTATATAATATATGTTGTAAGATGTACTATTTTTGAGACTCAAAATTTTTTTGTTTTTCATAATCATACATCATTATGTCGAGATGACAAATCAAATGGCTTTTCAACATTAAAACAACCTTTTATGTTGGATTTTTAAGATACATCCGTAGTTCTACATTATAAGGTTGCAACCTTATATTTTTTTCAAAAGACTTATACTTCCCTATCTAAAATTATAATCTCAAATAACCCCTTGGTCTTAAAAAAAGTTCGTATAACCCTCAAGTTAAACAAAAACTAACGTTTAAACCCTCCTTAGATTTTGTATTGTTTAAATTGTAGAATTTACTATTGTTCTTTTTTTCTAATTACCTGATCGTAAAAATCGAGTTGGTGATGCCTCCCTTAACTTGCTTGCAAGGTTCACGAGATGAGAGTCAAGTCCCAACAAAATATTGAGGTCAACGTGAGATTTTAGAGATGAGTGTTTATGTTTTCTTTATTTTTTATTGAAAGGGAACATAAGACTTTCTATTAATCAGAATGTAAAATTCAAAATGTTCAATAAAAAACAAAAGATTATTGAAAAGAAGTGACCACCAAAGAGGCAGCATGAACTCCTCTTTTGGCAAGGATGTACGCCTCTTCATTCGCCTCGTTATAGCAATGTTGAATAGTTGCCGTAGAGGTTGACAAAATATCTTAAATTTAATGAAAAATTATCCTTTATCTCCAAAGAATATGGGTCTCTCTTACTCCAAGCAATGACATTTGTCGAGTCTCCTTCGATAATCCTGCTCTCTTCCAAAGTAGGTAGCAATTTCAACCCTTTCAATAGGCCTCGTGCTTCCGCCTCGTTTGCTGTTATGGTACCACAAGGACTCGAATATAAAAGAATAATGTGACCCCAATGATTCCTAATGAGTCATCCATAGCATGTTTCTCCTGGGTTGTCAAATGAACTTCCATCAAAATTTAGTTAGAAAGAATTCACCAGTGGTGGTTTCCAAATGACCGTACTACGAGTGTTAGAGACAACACCCGTAGTAGCCAATGCCAAGAGATTCCTAATAATGAAACTTTTAGGAATGAAGTCATTGTCCTTATGAATAAGGAACCAATCAGCTGCAGCTGCGTTGATATTCGATTTTAAAGTAAACAAATCCATACATAAACTGTCAAAGACTTTGTTATTTCTTTCCTTCCACACATTTCAAAGAAGGCTAACCCAAATAGATCTCCAGAGAATAGTACCATTCTTTCAGACACCTGGTGTGATCCATTGATCAAGAAGTGCTCTGATATTCTGGGGCAGTGGTAATGATAAATTGAGACATTGGTGAGCCTAGTCCCCAAGATATGTAACAAAAGTGCATGATAAGAATAAATGTTGCGATTTTTCATCACTACCTTTACATAAGATACAGACATTAGTAATAATAAAACCCCTCTTCCTCAAGTTGTTAACAATTGCTAATTTATCTTAATACAGAATCCATAAGAAAAGCTGTACTTTAAGAGGCCCACATAATTTCTTCATTTGGAAGAGACCGGCATCCAACTCCCTCCATTGGTCATTGAACAAGAGGTTGTAGGTTGATTGGACCGAAAATTCCCCTGAAGAGGTAATGTTTTTCATCCACATTTGGAGTCAGATATATACCATCTAATAAATCCAAACATGATTGATACTCCTCAATGAGTCTATATGTAACTCTCCCGTACATGCAAGGAATTGACCAAATAATATTAGCATAGAAACCCCCACTAGCCTCCTCGATAGACGGTAGTGGGTTTAAGATTTTTAAGAAAACCTTAGGGAAGAGGTAACTCGAAGGCTTTGTCTTTTTCCCAAAAACAAAAAATATGTTGCAACCTTAAAATGTAGAATTAAAGATATACCTAAAAAATCCATCGGAGAATATTGTTTTAATATTGAAAAACCTCCAATTGATAATCTCGATATCGAGATGTATGAATATGAAAGAAAAAACAAAAAAAAAAAGAAAAAAGATTGTGAGCTCCAAAAATAATGCATATTGCAAGACATTATCTAGACCGTCCATTTTCAAGATTTTTATATTAGATATGAAAATAGATTTTTAAATAATCTTGAGAATTTTTTACACCAAAATTACATGTTATGATAAAATTTGAAGTTGCATCTTAATTGGATTGTTTAAGGTTGCAATATTATAGAAACCATACCCTTTTTTAAAAGCTAATTTTCTTACAACTTTTTTTAACCATAATTAGTTATGGTTCATTAAATTTTACTTTGAATATTTTTTTATTTTTTAAGTTTTTTGTATTTTTTATTTTGAATAGTTTTCAACTTATGTTTTTTAAATTTTTTATTTTTTAATAGTTTTCAACAACATGAGTTAATTGGTCTCGGGTAAGTACTCAGCTGGGGCATGGGCCGGTCCGAATCGACTTTTCCAACGTTGCCCGACATAATCGATGTACAAATGAATTGCGCTGTACAATTTATTTTGCTTTTTATTTTCTTTTTTTGGGGCTAAGTCAAGCCATGACATAAACAGTCATTGTAAGTATGAAGTAGAAGGTTCTATGTGAAAACTTCACAAAAATTTAGAACCTTGTACCCACAAAGTAGGTGTTAGAGGCCCACTTGTTCGCCTTAGCATTTTGGCTCTCTATAAACATGTTTAAAGTGGACAACGAGATGCTTTTGATGCCATCAACAATGAGACATTGTGTGAATCTCCTTCTATGCCACCACTGCCGTCGATTTGACAGTTAGCAGTTGCAGACCTTTTTCGAGTTTCAAACTTTGAATAGATGAATATATTTTCATAATTCAGCTAAAGTTACTTGAGCTAAATGATCTAAATACCCATGTTTGTTCTACTGTTTTTTTGCTTAAAAATAAAAAATAAATCTTGCCTTAAGTTTGGAATCCATAAAGTAAGATATTTACATATTTTGGCTTGGTGCGCTATATGGGGCTAAATTAGTAAGATGCCCCTAGTTGTTGTGGGTACTAAATCTAAAATACTTTTTTTTAGTGAAGAAATATATTTCAAGTTTGGTTTGGACTTTGGAACCCGAAAAAAAAAAAAGGTATTTAGGCTATTTAGCTCAAACGACTTAAGTGAATTAAACTATTAAAATACCCTCGTTTGTTCATGTTAATAGAAAATAAAGGGAAGTAAATATATGAGTTTTGTTTGAAATTAAAAAGTTAAAAAAAAGAAGGATTTTTTGTAAAATTGGAAATTTTTTTGACTATTTTTATTTTTTTTTAAAAAGGGAAAAGTACATTAATTTTCCCATAATAAAAGGTCATTTGGGCATTTTTAAACAAATTTTTTGAAAAAATACCTAAATAAAAATATTTTTGGAAAGGAAATACTCCATTGGTAAAGTTGTTTGATTGAACCACTGGAGTATTGTTGTAATTTGAACATTGGTTTAGGTTTTATTAAAATAAAATAAAAAATAAAACGTTATCCCAAGTTTTCAAATTTTATAACTTTAAATTTCATGATCAGAGGTGAAAATAGATTTCCGAACCAATGTGGGCTAAAAATGCATTTTTCAGAGACGTTTTCAAAGAAAGGCTCTCTATTTTACTCTACAAGGTCTTTGCCTTATATATCAACAACAAACAAGATTTTATCTTGTACAAATCATTGAA